CCTCAGAAAAAGAAAATAAACCTGGTTGAAAAGTAAGCCCAGGCTGGCTTCTATATTCGAGTTTTTGCTGTTTGTTTTTCCTTTGCACTGGAATGCCCTTCTTACCTGGCTTCCTCCTCCCTTCTGTGGGCAAAAAGAACACTTATTTATCTTCTAAAACCCAGCTCGCATGTCATTTCCTTTATGAAGCCCCTGTTGACACACCTGCCACCAAGTAAACGTGGTCACTCCCTGCTCGTGGCTCCACTGCGCCCTGAAAGCTTCCACTGTGGCAAGCATAACTTTTATTGCACTAACACATTGACAAAGGTTAATCAGAGGGAGCATGGCGGCTTATTCCTGAGTCCTACTACGAAAGGATACAGAGAGAAATGAGACGAACCTCTTGCCATTGGGGAGATCATTGTCTGTTGGGGCAATATTAACTTCGAACATGATCTTCATTTCAGGGCTAGAGATCTACACAGGGTTGTTATGGACACACTTTAACCACTTGAGTAGGGGATATCAGGTGGCACAGTGGTAAAGAACCTGCCTGACAATGCAGAAGACCCAAGAGACACGGGTTTAATCCCTGGGTCAGGAAGACCCCCTGGAGAAGGAAATGGTGACCTGCTCCAGTATTCTTGCCTGGAAAATCCCATGGACAGAGAAGCTTAGGAGGTGACAGTGCCTGGGATCACTCAGACACAACAGAGCGCACACACAACACAACACAGTAGGGGCTATCATTTGGCAGACTCCTAGGAAGGCTCTCTGCAGAGAGCCTTTTACCTGCTATAAAGAGAGATCCGGAGCCATCGATATAATGATCTCAGACATCCCAACCTCAGTCTCTGTCACTTATGTGTTGGAGGAAGCTTTGAGTCCCAGGTGTAATTGGTATGATCTCAGAGAAGTAAGGGGAGCAATGGCCCATGTTTACTGTAAGAGATGGGGGGTTTTCAATATATAAGGACTTTCTCATGGTGTGGTGAAGTTGTGAGGATCCCAGGTAGAGCCAGGGCTGCTAAAAGGTTTGCAAGGAAGAGATAAGGGCATTGTTTAAGGCTGTTTGGTTTCCTTACAGGTCAGAGAGGTACTTTTACTATGAAAAAAAGAAAGGAGAGACAGATGTAAAAAAGCATTTGAGTCAATGAAGATTACCCTTGTCCTTATCTGAATGACCACTGTAATAGTCAGACTTGCTAGGTCATGCTGCTGTAACAAGCAGCCCCACAATCTCAGTGGTTTATTTCTCATTGACATTACATGCTGACCTCAGGATGGCTGTGGTCCTGACCTCTACGTTTTTCATTCCAGGATCCAGACTGACTGAAGGAGCAGTGCTTTTCTTGGACTGGGTCATTTTGGGGCAGAGAGACAAACATGGTGGTGGGCCCACTCAATAACTCCTATAGCTTCTGTTGGAAAGTGGTATGTGCACTTCACGCATATTTAATTGGTCAAAGCAATGAGGTTCAATCTCACAGAAGGGACCAGAAAATGACAAGAATATAATTTACACAATTTACCACAGCTACACAGAACCCTAAGATTAAAAGCTGATGGTTCTGAAGACAGGTGACCAAGAATATGTCATACAAATTAGATTGACAAGTGCAACTTGAACCAGGAAAAATATGAGAGTAATCTATTGAAGAAAGAAATATGAAAAAAATCAAGGATTTCCCAAGATGGTCCAATGGTTAAGAATCTGTCTTCCAATGCAAGGGACTTGGGTTCTATCCATGGTTGGGGAACTAAGATCCCACAATCTGCTGGGCAACTAAGCCTGCTCAGTCCAACTACTGAGCCCACATGTTCTAGAGCCTGTGCCCTGCAACCAGAGAAAGCCCAAGTGCTGCAATGAAGACCGAAACATCTTCCACCCTCCCAAAAAAGAATCAGAACTTGCCTAATAAACAAAGCTTAAAAACTTCAGAAATCAAAAATGTATATAGTGAGGAAAATTTTGCTGTCTTTAACCGACAAACCAAAAATCAGACTAGCAAACAAAACAACCAGCAAAGTGTCTTACTTCAGACATGAGCCCACTGAAGCCCACCTGTTTTGAGGATCATGGATGGATTTTGGCAGGTCACACAAGGCATTTAGAGGAGAAAATGGATCTAAAACAAGCACTTTCATGATTAGCATCATCAGTTGTGCTGGCAACGCTACTCTGTCACTCAGCAGCCAACAAAAGTTCTACTCATCTTTTTTTGGTTTGCCTCCAATACTGTCTTTTCCCAGAAACTTTCCTTGATCACTGTTTTGTGTATGAATTGCATCTTCCTTAGATGTGATGGTACTTGCACCTCTATTTAATATATTGCCTTTATTATAGTTCATTATTTACTTCTACCTCCTCACCCCCAAGACAACTGTGAATTCCTTGAGGACAGAAACAGGAATTTATACATTTTAGGGTCTCCCATAGTGCCTAGTACAGAGAAGTGCACACAAAGGAACACAATTCATTGTTGTTTAAGTTCAGAAATTTATGATCTTGTTCGAAGCCTCTTGACAGGCAAATGTTAGCTCCAGCTGTGAGGTGTTCCCAGAGCCTACATGCATAAAGGAAGAAAGAAATGATTGTTAATGACAATTCTAGGGCTCAAACTCACCAGTACAGTAAAAAAGCCTTGGTAAGATAGGCAAAGGGGGAGGAAAGGATTGGGAGTAGGGGGTTGTGTAAGTGTGAGGTTCTTTGAAACAATATCAGTATCTCTTTGTTCTTGTGCTATCTAGATTATTTTGTTCCTTTTAGTTGTTTCTATTTTTCTTTTCTTAGTATAAAATAGTAATTAGTTACATAGGTCTTGGTTTCAATAAATTGTTTTAGGATGTGGTTTGATCTCAGTTATGCAAACACTCAGAGCAATATACAGTTAATTTGAGGCCTTAAATATGATATTAGACTGAAATGCATTAAAATTATACAGAGGGCTATGTAGAGTACTTATGTTCATAATATAGAGCATGAATATTTTTAGACTTTCTGATATTAGATTTAGGTGTGCTTGTTCTATTTTGTAAATCAAAGAATTGGCCTATATCTTTGATCTATGTGTTTAGGTTTTTATGGTGACAGATATCTTATAATAACTAGAAATAGAAATTCCATCTTTAGTGATAATACAGTATGGGGATCTAAGAAGAGAAGGTCTTAAGGTGCAGTTAATTAGCAGAAATCTGAAGCACACAGTCTCAAAGCAATTAAGGCTGTTAATTGAATATGTGGATGCATGGTGGAATGGCTCATATGTTGTTGGGCAGGGTACCCTAGGCTGGCAGACAGCAGTTACATTATACATATGAAGTTGAAAAATTCACAGACAACAAATATGGGTAAATGTACATTTGTCTAGTAGTTAACTGGATTTATGAATGGTGATACATTGTGGGCTATATGCAAATTTGTCTATGAGAAGCAAAATCCAGCATTAACTATTCAATCTTTCAGCCTATCTGTGGGGAGATATGGCATAAGACATATGGCATACCTTTTATTCACTGAAAACTGAGTTTTTTCAGGAGATTTTGCTGTCTTCTGATTTGGCAAACATCTCTAATTCACATGCTCCTTTAAATGAAATTGGTGGTTACACAACGGCTGCCACCTAGCATCCATGCAATTTTGGGAGTAGAAGGGAATGGACATTGTTGATGAGCTCAAGGCCTCTAAGGGATCTTGTTATCAAGATCTTCCTGGGTTCTGTGAGTTGCAGCATTTGATGAATGGATGAACCTACTTCTAAAAAGAAACTTTATTGAAATGTTCAAGACTGTGAAAAAGGTTTCAAAAACATAAAGAGAAATAAAATGTTCCTTTTAGAAGAACTTAAGTGGAAAGTGGTTAATATTTGGGACAGTGCTCATTATTTTTAAAGGCTATATCTGTCCCCCATTCCCTTCTGTCCTTCCCCCCCCACTCCACCCCCGCCGCCCCGGTGCATGCTCAGTCTTGTCCCAGTCTTCGTGACCTCGTGGACTGTAGCCTGCCAGGTTCTTCTGTCCGTGGGATTTGCCAGGCAAGAATACTGGAGTGGGTTGTATTATGCACACAGTCCTAAAAATGCGAGGTTAACCTGCCCTAGGTTATTGACTGGAACAGGAGGTTGAAGTCATTCACACTGGATTGAGAAGCATATTCAAAAGATGACTTTTTGGAGCAGGAAAGTTCCTGTTTGTTATGTAATGTGTGCGTTTCATTATTTACACGATTTCCCCGGGCGATTGGGATCTGTGTACACAGCCAGCTGCGTCCGAAGCAGCAACCCAGGCTTGAAATAAAACTAAACAGCCTTCTTTTATTGCCTTTCACTCCTTATGCCTATATTTTTTTTTAATGGAAAAATTTCCCTAAATTACGTCTCTAGATTAAAACGATTTTTTCCCCTTAAATATTTGTAGGAACTCTAGGCTTCCTGGAAAATTTTCCGTACTCCTTTCCACTGGTCTCTAAGGATGAATTAAATTAAAAAGTGAATATTCAATGACAAAGATTCGGAGCGGGAAAGCTTTTTGGTTTTGGTAAGGGGTTCTCAAGCCCTCTCTTATCGGGGTAATTCATCTCTCTTCTCCCGACCCACTTCGTTCTTTGTGGTATTTCCTGGAGTCAGATGACAATACACAAGGGTAGGGCGCCCTGGCCAAGGCTCTACATCTCTCTTCTCCCGACCCACTTCGTTCTTTGTGGTATTTCCTGGAGTCAGATGACAATACACAAGGGTAGGGAGCCCTGGCCAAGGCTCTGCGCACCGGGTGCTCAGGGCAGACCCCGGGGTTCTAGAAGGAAGGCGCGGGAGCGGGGTGTGTGTGTGTTGGGGGGTCCGGTGTGTGTGTCGTTGGCGGGGGCGGCGGGGTCCGCGTTTCCACGGCTTCGCCCTGGAGCCCCGGCCTTTCCCGGCGGTGCACCGCAGGCCCGGCCCGAGCGCAGGGGGCGGTCCCTCCCGTGCCAGCCCCGCCCCGGTCGGGTTTATAACCTGCCTGCTTGAGCTCCTGGAGCCGCCGCTTCTCGTGCGCTCCTGCTCGACTCGGGCTGCGAGTCCCCGGCCCGCCGCACGAAAGACTCCCGCCTGGCAAGCGCGCGTGCTCGCACCCACGTTGCCCTTCACCGCACGCGCTCACACTCACCCCCGCTCACACTCATCACCCTCGCACACACGCGCGCTCACACTCACGGGAGCGCTCCCCCTGGAACGCGCGCTCACACTTTCTCACTCACACCCCACTCGCGCCCCGGAGCGCTCGCTCTGCAGGGGCGCGCAGGCACCGCCGGCGAGAGCGCCGAGGGGACCCACGGCCTCCCCATGGCTGACCTGAGCTTCATCGAAGATTCCGTGGCCTTCCCGGAGAAGGAGGAGGATGAGGAGGAAGAGGAGGAAGGCGTGGAGTGGGGCTACGAGGAAGGTAACCCGCCGCGCGCCAGGAGGCTGGCGCTCCCCGCGCCTCCGCCGCCCCTCTTTCCCACGTCGGTCCCTGGCCCGTTTAGGAGCAGGAGGCGCTCGGGGCAGAGCGGGCATCGCCCGCGTGCTTCTCCGGGAGCCCGGCCTTGGTGCCGGGCAGCTGTTGGCACCTGCCGCCATCCGGTGGGCGAGCCCGAAGGCTGCGTTGGTGACGGTTCCGTCTGGCTAGTAGCGAGAACAGCAGCCTTAACTGTTACTGAACACCTTGAGAATGCAGCGTTACTGAAACTCTTATTTTCTTTCTTTGAAAAAAAAAATTCTTTGGTTTACAGAGTTGTGTTAGTTTCAGATGTACAGCAAAGTGATTCAGTTATACAAACGCATATATTCACTCTTTTCCAGATTCTTGTCTCTTATCGCATCCGTGAAACTATTTCTGGCTTGCCTGCGGGCAGAAAGTAACTATTTGAGCTACTGAGTTTTCTAGAAGGATGCTGACACCGTTCAACTTTTTCTGAACAAGTCCTAAGTTTTTGAGCTGAATCATTGGGCTTGGCAAGATGGGGATTGACCTTGTATAAAAAGTTTAGTTTCCTAAAATGTATCCCTGAAGATGTAGGACTCCTAATGGAGCTGACAATTGGTGCTGATGTTGACTACATATCTGCAACAAATGTAGAGTTTATAACTTGCATGATGCAAATATGGAAAGAGTATTATCTATATATGCATGATATATAGGTATGTATATAGAGGAGTATGTGTGTGTGTGTGTGCTCAGTTGCTAAGTCATGTCTGACTCTGCAACTTTATGGCCTGTAGCCTAACAGGCTTCTCTGTCCATGGGATCTCCCAGGCAAGAATAGGAGAGTGGGTTTCCATTTCCTTCTCCAGGGGATCCTCCCAACCTAGGAATAGAACCCATGTCTCCTGCTTGAAATGCGGATTCTTGACCACTGAGCCACCCAGGAAGCCCCGTATATATGAATATGCACACTTCAAACTACTGGTTGCATTTCTGATAAGAAATTTTTACTCACTAGCGTCAGATTTTTGGTTTTTGATTCTCACTAAGAACGTTGAAAGTTACAGGAATTTTCCAAGTACTTAACATAATTGAACTAATGAGCAGAGGAAATTTTTGTGGTATTGTTTTTTTTTCTAATCACTTAAAGATCTGAATTTCCTAGAGCCATAAATTAGTACCTCTATGTACGCAAATAGAACATTTTGTTAGTCTGGGACTCCGAATGTGATATCAGATAACATTAGATCATTCAGCCTATGAGTGCAAAGATGCACGCGCTTTATTAATACCATGTCTTATCTGTAAAGAGACAGTAGTCATAATCTTCTTAATAATGGCAAGGATCATAAACAATGTTTAAACTAGTTTTCCTGTGTTAAATTTTGCTGTAACTTATTTTTTCAATCCGTTCTAAGTTTGCTTCATTTTGTCCTCAGGTGTTGAGTGGGGCTTGGTGTTTCCGGATGCTAATGGGGAGTACCAGTCTCCCATTAACTTGAACTCAAGAGAGGCTCGATATGACCCCTCACTGCTGGATATCCGCCTCTCCCCGAATTATGTGGTCTGCCGGGACTGTGAGGTCGCCAATGACGGGCATACCATTCAGGTTATCCTGAAGTCGAAATCAGGTATTTTAGATGTTTCTGTGTGCTTCTTATTAAACTAGAAGTCATTGCCAAGCTAATTTAGCTTGTATGACCTTAATGGTAGGACTAACCTATCTCTGTTGTCAGGATACCTTTATATACCATAACATGAATTTTGGGGGAATTATTTTCTGAAACATTTTGAAAGGATGAAATTATGAAGGTGTCAGTTGGTTGTCCCATGTTATACGATGTTATTGGAACAACCTTAGTTGGTCGAATTCCAGCTCTGTAAAATTTGAGGAAGAGTATATACACATGTATGATGCTGAAGCTCCAGTATTTTGGTCATCTGATGTGAACAGATGACTCATTGGTAAAGTCCCTGATGCTGGGAAAGATTCAGGGCAGAAGGAGAAGAGGGTGTCGGAGGATGAGATGGCTGGACGGCATCACTGATGCAATGAACATGAACTTGGTCAAACTCTGGGAGATGGTCAGAGACAGAGAGGCCTGGTATACTGCAGTCCATGGGGTCTCAAAGAGTTGGATGTGACTGGGCGACTGCGCAACAACATACAGAAGTATACAAATCTTCGTTTTGTCCAAAGTGTTGATTAGCTCAAATCATTTAGATAATTATAATTCTGTCTTACTGCTTTGTAAAACTGAAGATCAGCATTTATTGATATAATTTGGCATCCAAGATAGACTTTTCAAATTAATTTTCTTTACTATATTAATATATAATTATATATAATATAATTAATAGTAATATTAATATAATTAATATGGCAAGAAGAATTTTAATTAATAGCAGTCAAAATCAGTCTCTAAACTCAGTGAAAGATTTAAATGGCCAGCAAAACTCTTACTTTTATTTATTTTTTTAACTCTCCTCCTCCCTGCTGAACCTATTTGAGATGGATCTGAAATGTTTTTTAGAAAAACTATTGGATAATTACCAAGGAAATTGCTTTTTGCTTATATATGGGGGAGAGGAGAGCAGAATATTTTAAAATTAGCATTAATTTTTTGCTTTTCATAGTGAATACTAACTGTACTTCTTGGGAAGAATGTAAAATCAGGAATATGTTGGAATATTGGGGAGTATTTAATAAACAGAGACCAACTGTACTCAAATTAATTCTGAATCAATAAATTTGATATTTCAAGCCATAAAATCTTTGGGTTTAATGTTAGACAGGACAGGTATTGATTTCCAACTATGAATATTTTATTCATTGTGAATATTCAGTTCAGTTCAGTTCAGTTGCTCAGTCGTGTCCGACTCTTTGCGACCCCATGAACTGCAGTACGCCAGGCCTCTCTGTCCATCACCAATTCCCGGAGTTTACTCAAACTCATGTCCATCGAGTCGGTGATGCCATCCATCCATCTCATCCTCTGTCGTCCCCTTCTCCTCCTGCCCCCAATCCCTCCCAGCATCAGGGTCTTTTCCAATGAGTCAACTCTTCGCATGAGGTGGCCAAAGTACTGGAGTTTCAGCTTCAACATCAGTCCTTCCAATGAACACCCAAGACTGATCTCCTTTAGGATGGACTGGTTGGATCTCCTTGCAGTCCAAGGGACTCTCAAGAGTCTTCTCCAACACCACAGTTCAAAAGCATCAATTCTTTGGCACTCAGCTTTCTTCACAGTCCAACTCTCACATCCATACAAGACCACTGGAAAAACCATAGCCTTGACTAGACAGACCTTTGTTGGCAATGTAATGTCTCTACTTTTTAATATGCTATCTAGGTTGGTCATAATTTTCCTTCCAAGGAATAAGCATCTTTTAATTTCATGGCTGCCCCAAAACAGAGCCCATCAAGCATTGTTTTGACTCTGCCCACACGGTCCTCTCCTGACCACCGAGAAAGAGTTGTCTGTGTTTCTGTCTGGGCCTGTTTGACGCACACACTCTGACCCCTTCCTCCATCCTCTTTGGAGACCTTGCTCCATCAGATGCCTGTCTCCTTTCTACCACTACAGTCATTTCTTCACTGTTTCTCCCTTTTCAGTATTTCTCCATAATTAAAAAAAAAAAATAACAAAGAAACCTGTGTCTGGAGCAGTTTATTTACCCAGCTTCCATCCTTGGGTTGGGAAGATCTCCTGGAGGAGGAAGTGGCAACCCACTGCAGTATTCTTGCCTGGAGAATCCCATGGACAGAGGAGCCTGGCAGGCTACAGCCTATGGGGTCACAAAGAGTTGGACATGACAGAGCAACTGAGCACATGGAAGTTTTGCCCCCATCCTCCCTGTATACTTATAGTTGTTATTTAAATTAGTTCAGTGTTTTTATTATTATGACTATGCAACTATTGTTTCCAGCTGAGGCTATGTTCTGTTTCCTTTATTGAATAATGTGGGGGGCCCCCACCCCTGGTGTAAATGTATTTTTGTTTGTTTTTTTTTTATCCATCATGGTTTCATTTCCACACTCTCTGACGGCTGGCAGGCACATCTTCTCCCAGGACATTCAGAAAGTCCTTTGAAGTCCTTCTGTCCCTCATATCCACCCTTCCTTCTCTCCTCCAAGTAGTAGTTTTTGCCATACATTGACATGAATCAGCCATGGATTTACATGTGTTATTTCTTTCTATTAAACTTCTACTGTCTTATATTTGGCTTCTAATTGTCTTATATTTATCTCTAATCTGCTCCTATATTTTTAATTTCTAAAATATGGTGCTTATTCTATGAATTAAAAAAAAACACCTACCAGTGTTTATTTCTTGATTACAGGATCTTTTTTCTGTTCTCCTGTGTTTATGTTTTATTCTGGGGTCTTCTTCTGTTTGTTTTGGTCTCTCTTTTTTATGCTGGAGGTTCTTCTCAAGTGTCCAGTGATCTTTGGCTCTTTGTTCATGTTTAGTAATGGGTCTGAAAGTCTAGTTAGAGACTCTGCATGTGGGCAGGGTTTGAGGTCTGGCGGCTGTCACAGTAACGTGGTTATGTAGGAGCAGGCTATGTTGTTGGAGGAGCCTTTGTAGGTTTATGGATTTCTCTGGGGGAAGCTGTGTGATGGCTCACACCTGGCTGTCTGTATTCTGGTTGTTGACTGCAGGTGAAAAAGCGTGTAACCAGAGGGTACATCCATTATAGTTAATGAACCTACATTGACACCTCATCTACACCCAGAGTCCATAGTTTACATTAGGGTTTGCTCTTGGTGTTTTTGAGCTTGAACAAATGTTTAATGACATGTGTCCACTACTGTAATATCATACAAAATGATTTCACTGCCCTAAAAATTCTGTGTGTTCCTCCTTTTCTTCTGTCTCTCTCCCCAGCTCTTGGCGATCACAAATCCTTATACTGTCTCCATAGTTTTGCATTTTTCATGTCATGTGGTTGGACTCATACATTTTATAGGCTTATACTTGGCTTCTTTTGCTTGGCAGTAATGCATCAAAGTTTCCTTAGATGCTGTTTTGTTTTTTATTTAATAAAAAAATTGCAGAATAAGCACAATTAAAATTTTTTGGGAGGGACTTCCCTGGTGGTCCAGTGGTTGAGTCTTCACTTCCAGTGCAGGGAGTCATGGGTTCGATCCCTGGTTGGGAAGCTAAGAGCCCACATACCTTGTGGCCAAAAAATCAAAACATAAAATGGAAACAAATTCAATAAAGACTTTAAAAATGGTCTATATAAAAAGTCTTAAGTTTTTTTGTTTTGTATTAAAAAAGAGTACAGAATTACTAAAAGGAGTTACAACAACTGTAGTATAATTGAAATACTTCCACTTATTAAGTGAAAGCTTTTAGCATAATCCCTATGGTATAGTTTCCTTAGATAAGTGTGCTTAGTCACTCATTCCAGTCCGACTCTTGCGACTGCATAGGCTGTAGCCTGCCAGGCTCCACTGTCCATGGGATTCTCCAGGCAAGAATACTGAAGTAGGTTGCCCTTTCCTTCTCCAGGGTATCTTCCTGACCCAGGAATCGAACCTGGGTCTCCTGTATTGCAGGCAGACTCTTTACTGACTGAGCTATGAGGGAAGCCCTTAATAACCCTATCTGGGGTTTTAAATTTGAGAGATGTCATTAGCACAAGTCTTTCACTCCAGACCTCCTGCTGAAAGTTTCCAAACCAAGGTCATTGATAAGCTCCTCATCCCATGATCAAAGGACCACTTTAAAATCCTAACAGTACTTTAATTCTGCTGCATTTGCAGTGAAATTTTTGGAAACTCTCCTGTTGGTCTCAATGACACACCAGTTCTGGATGTTTCTTCTTAATTTTGACTACCTTTCCTCTGCCAGTTCATCATTCCCCATTATTCTTAATTGATGGAATTTCTCAAAGTTTCTTCCTCAACCCTCTTCTTGAGAAGAAAATAGTCTGATTGTGTAGGTGATACAGTAAGGCAGCAGATGAGATTAGGAAGGTGACTGAATCATAGATTCACTGAATGGGTTGGCCCCATGGAGGCCACCATTCCAGCCCCCCATCTCAGACCCTCTGGGCAGTAGCTGCATGTCTTCAACTTGAACAGCTCAGGAAAAGATATTCATGCCTCACTGAGAGAGGATCCATTTTGCTTTTGAGTGAAACCACATCAAAAAGTCCTGGGATCTCCATCATTACCTCTACTGTGGAATTCTGGACCTATACAGAACACATGTAATTGTACTTTCTTCTTTTTTTCATTTTTAAAATTCTATTCTAATATTTATTTTTGGCTGTACTGGGTCTTCCTTGCTGCTTGCAGGCTTTCTCTAGTTGTGGCCGATGGGGGTACTCCCTAGTTGTGGTGCGTGGGTTTCTCATTGCAGTGGCTTCTCTTGTTGCAGAGCACAGACTCTAGAGTGCGCAGGCTCAGTAGTTGTGGCACATGGGTGTAGTTGCCCTGCAGCATGTGGGATCTTAGACCAGGGATCGAACATGTGTCCCTACATTGGCAGGCGGACTGGACCACCAGGGAGGCCCTGCAATTGTTCTTCCATATGACATCCTTTAAAATATTCACTACTACCAACATACCATGAAGTTGCTATTTTTCCTTTCCAGACATAATTAGTTCCTTCAGCTGGTCCTCAAATGATAGCCCTCCCTCCATTAATACCTATTTATTGATCATTTACTACCTGAAATACAAATTAACTTATCTCTTCTTAGAGAAGTTTGTGTAAATGAGGACAACGAGGAGAGCAAAACTTGAATCTCTTTACAATCATATTTATTATTAGCTGACTCTGGGGGACTTGAATTATCTGGACTGTCATCTTCATCTGCTTCACTTTGCTTATAGACCCAGTTTAACTGGCCTCCTTGCCCTATTGTTTGATGTTAGCACTGCATTTATGAGCTGATGATATTTATTCTTTAATGTGAAATAAAGCTATAGGTTAAAAGCTAAGGACTGTTAAACATATTGATTGTTGCTTTGAAGACTTCAAATGTTAAAAGAACTAATTAATACTATTTTTTAGAATGTTTTATGAATACATTTGGGATTCCTTAAAAATTAAACTGAGGTCATAAGGTCTTTAAACCTATTGAGAGGTGCTCTTTGATGACCTAGAGTGGGGGAAGGGAGTGAGAGGGAGGCTCCGGAGGGAGGTGATATGTGTGTGCTTACAGCTGATCCATGTTGTTGTACGGCAGGATCTAATAGAACATTGTGAAGCAGTTATACTTCAATTTAAAATAAATTAAAAAAACTTATTGAGTGAACTTTAGGGGCCGCTGATTCTTTGGGGGATGCATCAGGGGCCATTGGCGTTGGTCTTCCTGAATTTGGGGTCATGACTCCATAAGGCTCCGTCTCCTGACCGTGCTATCTTTGGCTGTGGCTGCAGCTTTCTCAACAGTTGGGCTTGCACTTTTCTGATCTACCATCTATGCAGACCTAGGAGTAACATTTTAATCCACTTTTTCTTTGGCTGTGCCTCGCGGCACGCAGGATCTTAGTTTCCAGACCAGGGATGGAACTGGCACCCCTCTGCAGTGGAAACATAGAGCCCTAACCACCGGGTCACCAGGGAAGTCCCAGACCTGGGAGTAATATTTTAAAAAGCAAAAATATTAGCCCACTGCTTAAAAACTAGTGATGATTCTCCAAGATAAACTCCAGCCCATCTGCATGAGCTGCCATCTGCCCACCCCCACTCGGCCAATTTCATACCTTGAGGCCTGCCTTTGGCCATTGGACACCTCTGACTTTGTTCTCTTGGCACCCATTCTGGCCATTTCCCACCTCTGAGTCTTTCTGAACCTCTTCTTTATGCTTCTAAAGTATAGTCTCTCACTTCTGCACTTAGCTTACCCTTTAAGACTTGCTTAGCTGTCACCTCCTCCATAAAGTCTTCCCTGACTTACTTTCTAACTCCTCCCCTCCTCCCCCAACCCCCACCCTTGGTTTTGGTTTGGATCCTGCTGGGTTCCGACTGCCTTGTGCATTTTCCTCTGCTCTTTTTTCTTTTTTAACTTCTGTCTTCAGTCGTGTCTGACTGTTTGCTACCCTTTGGATTGTAGCCCACCAGGCTCCTCCGTCCGTAGTATTCTCCAGGCAAGAATACTAGAGTGGATTGCCATTTCCTCCTCCAGGGGATCTTCCCAACTCCTATCTACTGCATTGCAGTTGGATTCTTTACCTGCTGAGCCATTGTGGAAGCCCCTTTCCCTTCTGCCCCTATGAAATCACTTTTAGTTCCTTCAGCACTGAGAATGCCTTGCCAGTGCAAGGCTATATCCTTCCTTTTACACACAACGGTCAGCACATGGCCAGGCATGGAGTCCATCTCAAAACGTGTGTTGAACTTGAATGAAATGAGGGGGACTCAACCTTTGAACTCTCTGGCAAATCTGTTTTCAGCAAAGGGTTATAAAAGCTTAGATTGATTCAGGGGAGTTAATATGTGTCATATCTCTATGAATTCTCAGATTTTGCAGAAGCTTCTGAAAGGAGCTCTTTTATATTTGTAAGCGTAATGGCCATGCCTATCAAAGAAAAAGCGTTCAAGACAACGGAGGTGGTAGCAATGACAACAGTGTATCCTGTATCCTTTTCACAGTTTAGTTATTCTCAGGAAATGCAGCACATCATCAGTGTGAGTTTCACGTTTCATTGTAATTTTACTGGATGTGATGATACCACAACTAATAAACCTGCCATAGAGTGACAAAATATCACTCAGCAAAATTTGATATTCATAAATGCAGGAAAAGTGTTCTTCTCTTGGTATGACTAGTTTTCTTGTGAAGCAAGTAAATGGTCCAAAGGAAGAATTATGCCTTGAGAGGATGCTGCCAAATGGGTGAAAGAGAGCTGCTATTTATTTGTAGTCTATAAACACAATCACTTGTGGGGGATGACCAGGTAATGCTTTTACCTGGAACCTCATAAAATTCTGAATTCAGGATATTGTCAGTTTTTTATGGCTTTGCATGGCCCTGTGATTTTAGTGTGATTTAACTTTGGATTATTTGTCTGCAGCAAAAGTGAAAGGTACCAGAACCAATTCTTGGCTGATAGCTTCCCCTTTGTCACCTCTCCCAGGGGACCAGGCTTGGTTAAAAACGCTTCCCTTCTTTGTGTTCCTTTTCAACCCAGTAGAATGTAAGACCCCGAGGATCTGGTTTCATTAGAATTTTCTTGAGCATGAAAACCGTGTAATGATCAAAAGTGAAAGTGTTAGTTGTTCAGTCTTGGCGGACTCTGCGACCCCGTGGAGTGTAACCCACCAGGCTCCTCTGTCCATGGGACTCTCTAGGCAAGAATACTGGAGTGGGTTGCCATTCTCTTCTCCAGGGGAGCTTCTCCACCCAGGGATAGAACTTGAGTCTCCCACATTACAGGCAGATTCTTTACTGTCTGATCCACCAGGGAAGCCCTGTAATGACCAAATAAATATCATAGTAAAAGTCTGATCTTCACAAATATATACATTTGCATTTCATCCCAGCAGGATGTAAGATCCATGAAGCCAGTGAGTTTTGTCTGTTGTGTCAACATCCATGTGTCTTAAACACCATGTGCCTGCCACAGTGTAGGTGATCAAAAAGTATTTGTTCAGGTATTTTTCAGTGAAACCCCTGTGGGCCTGGAACTTCTTCTCGATAAGACATACATCGGTGCAGTTTGAATTTTCAGGGCATTTAAAAATATCATCTCTATTTCCAAGTTTTAATCTGAAGAAATATTGGCCACTAGGCAGGTGGGAGGTGTACGGGTGAAGCTCAGATCTCTCTTTTCTGCCCCTGAACTCACTAACAGGATCAGCTTCACCCACTGCTATCAGAAAGTACTAGTGAACTGCTCTGTACTGGTTTCAGAAACTGTGTGTGTGTGTGTGTGTGTGTGTGTACCTGATGAAAATGTTTTGGGGAAAGATATTTTTAATCCTCTTTGTTTCACAATACTCCCGTTTCTTTCTGCTTAGCCTTGTGGAGCTAAGCCTTATTCAAGACAATTTTCTGCTCTTTTTTAAGAGTGGAGTGTTGGAACCGTGCCCCTCATCACCCCCCCACTCCGCCCCCGCCAATGCCCCAAAGCCTTAGGTCGGGTCATAGACACAGAGGGTGAAGGGTACTTCAATTTCAAATGGTGCAGGCCGATCTCTATCTCAGGGAGACAGCAGTGAGCAATGGCTTGAAGCGAGATCTTAGTTCCCTGCCCAGTATTTTGTTGCTTCTAGACTAGATGTACTTTCCATCATCCTTCAGAGTGCCCTTGTTTGGGACAGAGTTCTAGGTTATCTCCAGAAGTGAGACACAGAGACAGGGCCCCATAGAACTAAAATTTAATATTTTAAATGTTGTGAATATTTTATCACAGTTTTATTTTGTTTGCATTTACATGACACTGGATGATAGATAGCTTTTTAAAAATTGTGATTTCATTGTTGAAAAACCAGGTTGGCTTAATAATAATTGGCTTCATGGGTAATTATGCCAGCTAACACCTGTTCTCCCAGTTGAAAGTGTGCTTGTGTAATGGATTATCTATAAACAAAGTTTAATTTAGTGATAAGTCTATAGAAAATTATTGGTCAGTCTGAGACTCAGGTCATATTCTTATCTCCTGATCAATGCTAAGTTTAAGTCTCAGAGGAAACTGCGATAGCTGCTGTGTTTATTTCCTGTCTGCTCCTATGCCTACAATATATAAGAAGTTAACATATACATGTCATTCTCAAGTATTTTAGAGTTTTTGAATGTCTGCTGTATCAAGATGATAGTATGAATTCATCCCACAGTAGCTATACTCTCCTCATTTTGGCTATGTGAATTTAATCTGTAGAATTTATGAGACCTCTTGGCAAAAAATGTCCCCAAATGTTTATAATGCTGTGCCGATGAATGTGTTTGAGATGTAATTAACTAGAACTTATTTTCTTTTTTCAGTTCTATCAGGAGGTCCATTGCCTCAAGGACATGAATTTGAGCTGTATGAAGTTAGATTTCATTGGGGAAGAGAAAACCAGCGTGGTTCTGAGCACACAGTTAATTTCAAAGCTTTTCCCATGGAGGTAAGAAGAATAAATCAGCTTGAACAACACCAAAACTTTGTTGTTCATGTAGAGTATTTGGTGATTTACTGAAAATGGTTTAGTTTCCAAGTAGCTGTGTAGTTGTTGAATTTTATCAATTTATATTAAAATAAAAAAGTCCTCAATAAGCTTTTGGCAGCAGAAGAAACTTCCCATTAGCCTTAGGGGGCCTGGAGAATGCACAGGGGCTGTTGGTTATAAAGGTAATCTATGCTGTTAAGTTTCATCATAGTAGTAGTATTATTGTAAAAATTCTGCAGATTCAGCAGGTCACTTTTGTGGATGCTATGAATAGATGATAAGCAGAAGGCAACTTTTGGAGAAACCTCAATGGTAATTAAAAGTCTAGTTTAGTTCTGATTAAAATTGGTAAGTTGATTTATTCACCTCAAGCAATTAGGGGGAGAGAGAAGAGATTTTTAGAGAGTTATTTTGTCTGAAGAAGTCACTCTCCTACTTACCGTCTTAGTCAACTCCTGCTCTTCTTCAGTATCTAGTTAGCATGTCATTTCCTCATGGGACTCTTTCTGAGTTCCTTCCAAAAGCAGAATTAATTTCTCTCTCCTCTGTGCTCCCAGTTCCCTTGATAGATGGCTGCTGAGGCATTGATCTCATGCATTGTAACCTTTAGTGTTTAAAGAGTCCTTCTCACTAATTGTGGGCTCTTGTTATGGACTGAAGTGTTTATGATTTGCCACCCCCCCCCCCCCCCCCTCAATTCATATGTTGGAAACTCTACCCCTTCATGTGATGATATTAGGGGGTGGAGCCTTTGGAAGGTGATTAGGATTAGAAGAGGTCATGAGGGTGGGGCCCTCATGAGTGGAATTAGTGCCCTCATGGACTCCAGAGGGAGCTTGCTTCTCCTTGCTCACTGCTGGTTGATGGACACAGGACCGTCTCCAAGCCAGGAAGCGGGCTCTCACCAGGTACCCTGATTGTGGACTTCCAAGCCTCCAGAGCCGTGAGAAATAAATTCTGTTGTTTAAGCTACCAGTCTATGGTAATTTGTTATCACAGCCCAAGCTAAGACAGTTTCCCTCTCACTCTCTGTGTTCCTTCTAACATTGAGTCCAGTGCAAGGAACATCGAGACAACCCATGTTGGTGCAATTGACAGGATGCCTCTGTTGTTCATATTTCTTTCTTCTTTTTTTTTTTTTTTCATATTTCTTTCTATAAGGACCAAAGTTCTTGCCTGGGAAATAGCCCATCAGTGACAAGTAATGGTATATCTGAGGGGCCATCAAAATGCCAGTCTTCCTCTCTATCATTCCCAGCTGCATGTACTGCAGTATGGAATTGCTCATGATCACATGCCACATTCATATCTGCCTCATTGCCTGGAAATCACTACTGTTTATATAAGTGATACGTGTACCTTAAAGAATGAAATCAAAGAAAATATTTCTCAGTGTTGCTTGAATAATCATTAAAAAAGTTTTCTTTTGAAAGCTCAAAATATCCCTTCCTTAAAAAAAAAAAACCTCAGGGTCTTAAAAGAAATATTAAATGAAAAAATACTACATGTTTTGAGGATGGAGGGAAAAACCAATTGCAGTGTGTTGAATAGTATATGTGTTATGTGATACTAAGGACAATAATTGGAGATACTTCTTTAAGGACTTGATGGGTGACGTTGGGTCTTCAAATGTTACCTTTCTAGGGGCTTTTTTCCTCAATGCCCATAGACATCCTCTCACTTCTAGTGCCTTGAAACAGTTCCACCCCATCTCTGTGTCACCTCTTGCTGCTGCCCTATCCCCATCCAGTGTGAGAAGGAAGAGTTCATGCCAGAACATACGAGAGAAGAGAGGACCAAAGACAATTCCAAATAACTAAATCTGCAGAGTAGCCGAGGGCTGTGGAGGGACAGGAAAACACTGTGCTGTCATCCTGCCCTCTTCTTTGTGTTTGAAAAGCTTCTCCATTTCAACCAGCCTTCAAAGATATATTGGTCTAATCAAAAATTTAGGGAGAGATGGGAGTCCTTGGGAAAGCACCAATGTCTGGATGAAGATTCAGTGACTTTGCTTGTGACACACAGAACTTACAGCCTTGGGAGTTTTATTCGCTTAAGTGAGTCAGTGATATGTGCTTTTCTCCCCGAAGTCAAAAGGAACTTCCGGATGGAACGTTCAGACTGGTCCTGCTACTTGATGAAGGTTTAACTGTCCTGGTCCATTAAGCACAGGTAATGGTTTGTGCTGAGTGGAGATTAAATTCTGGTTTTGTTTCTGCAGAAATATTTTTATGTTTAGAATGATGGAATTACTGACTGTAATTTTTCCAAAATAGGTGATGAATGATATTTGAATTCTGTGTTATCCCAGATTATCTCTGATCCAGTCCTAGAGAGAAATACTTCTACTGGTCACCTGATGTTGGTGTTTAGTGCTGGGTCCTGTTGAGTGCACTGACGCTGGGGGTGCACAGAGTTAGAGGGAGGTGACTGTGAGTCAGGTGTTTTTTGTTTTATTTTGTTTTAATGGAGGCAGTGAAAGGTAAGTTGGGTTTTCAGGCGGAGAGGGCTGACTCAGTGAAAGAGAGAAGGACTCCTTGTAGAATAGTTGAGGAGGGAATGAGATGCCTAAGTGGAGATAGGTGGATAAATTGCTACCATCCCCCTGTCCTGAACTGCCATCAGGGGCCGTTTGGAACGTAAGGACATGGCCAAAGGAACAGTGGAGAGTGAGGGGGCCAGGTGTTGTTTGGGGTACATGATTTAAAAAAAAATAATTTTCTAGGACACTTTTTGTTTCTTGTTTGCAGTTTAAGACTAACTTTAATCTCCAGAAGATTTTTCGATACATATTTCCTTTTTGTTGATTTTACTTAAACTTAAGTGGATGGTTTATTCCACAAACACTGTAAACAGATATTTACCTTGTCTGTTGCATATAACATGGGGATAGCTTTTAACAGAAATTCATCAAGCTTGCCTGTTGACTTTTAAAAATTATGTGTGCATGTGCTCAATTGTGTCCAACTGTGACCTCCTGGACTGTAGCCCACTGGGCTCCTCTGTCCTTGGAATTTTCCTGGCAAGAATACTGGAGTGGGTTGTCATTTCCTACTCCAGGGGATCTTCCCCACCCAGGAATTGAACCCTCATCTCTTGCGTCTCCTGCATAGGCAGGAGGATTCTTTACTACTGCACCACCTGGGAAACCCTTTTAAAATTATAAATACAGGCCTAAAAACAATCCTGAATATATGTTTGATGCTACTAGTAGTCAGACACATCACTTCAAAAATTAACACAATTTGTGACATTAGACAATTTAAACTGCAGCTCTTGCGCTCAGCAAGATGGATCAAGCATGTCCTTTCTGCTTTTCCTACTTGAGATTTGCAGTTTTCAGAAACACGCATGCTTTCATGGCTGCCTGATGCTTCTTGCCATGTTTTCATCTTGTAAACCAAATTCTATTATGAAGACTCCAGATTTCTGCTTAAATGGTGGTGCCTTAACAAGAGAAAAGAAAATTGTGCTGCATTTTTCTTCTTGTTACCTAAAACATAATGGGTTTGCATGTATTAATTATTTTTACAAGTGTCTGGGTGATGTCTACCAGCTTGAATTCTTACCGTGCGGATATTTTGCATCATGATATTTAATCAAGACAGCAAGTGTGAGTAGAAGGTTGTTGATTTAAGACAAGTATGGGATCCAGTCAAATTAATTCCCGTATGTTTGTCCTTCTGGTGGCTATAGAAGCTTTGTATTTTCTTTAGATGTCGTTGGATGTCTTAGCTCTTGATGTTCAACTTTAATACTGTATGAATTTTGTGATTAGCTCTATCCTTTGTGAATCCACCATATCGCTAGAATTATTTATTGTATTCGTATTAATTTTGTTTCAAATCCAATTAATGGAGGAACTTCCAGACGAGATCGGGCACATTCAGGGTGGTTTGGCTGTAGATTGGAGGAACTTCCAGATATTTAAGTTCAAATTGAACTTTCAGGATATGAGTTGTGTTTTAGTCATTTTGTATGTGGAGACTGTCATGTTCTTTGCTACTTCAAGGTACTCTAATGTTTCAGTTCAGTTCAGTTCAGTCGCTTAGTCGTGTCTGACTCTTTGTGACCGCATGAATCGCAGCACGCTAGGCCTCCCTGTCCATCACCAGCTCCTGAAGTTTACTCACACTCATGCCCATCGAGTCGGTGATGCCATCCATCCGTCTCATCCTCTGTCGTCCCCTTCTCCTGCCCCCAATCAGGGTCTTTTCCAATGAGTCAACTCTTCGCATGAGGTGGCCAAAGTATTGGAGTTTCAGCTTCAGCATCAGTCCTTCCAATGAACACCCAGGACTGATCTCCTTTAGGATGAACTGGTTGGATCTCCTTGCAGTCCAAGGGATTCTCAAGAGTCTTCTCCAACACCACAGTCTAATGTTTAACTCCTGGTAAATTGCAATTAATCTTCACACAGGGATCGCTACACTCATACTTTTATGGGAGAATACATTCCAGGCATTCAGGTTTTGTGCCAGAGCAGCAAAATTAAGAAAAAATCTGGAGGATGGAGAGATCAATAGTATGGCTAAGTTTTTTTTTTCCCTTCAGATAATAATATTATCTTTCTGCTCTCCCTATCATTTTGCAAAGGGAGGTTCTCGAATTTAATAACTACATGTAAGAAGAGTATGATCTCAGGATAAACACCAGCCTATACGTTGAATAGACTGAACTTTTATTTATTTATTTATTTTGATTTCACATTAAAAATGTCTTTAAAAAATTTATTTGAATTGGAGGATAATTACTTTATAATAGTGTGATGGTTTTTGCTTTATATCAGTATGAATCGGCTGTAGGTATACATGTGTCCCCTCTGTCCTGACCCCACCTCACACCTCCCTCCCCACTCCATCTCCATCCCTCCAGGCTGTCACAGAACACTGGCTTTGGGTGCCTTGCATCATGCATCAAACTTGCGCTGGCTATCTGTTTTACATATGGTAATGTAT